CGTTATAAAGAACTTTATCCGGCAATGTTATAATAGAGGCCGAGCGTGCCTGTGAACCTGAGGGACAAAACAGTGTCACAGTTACCAATGATTTACTTCCACGTTACCAATACCTGGTATCTCAAAGTGGTGTACGCTCTACCGCTTTCGACATTTGACCATCGCTACCTTTAACTCCGTGCCTATTAGTACGTAGCATCATGTGATTACCAACGGGGTCGGACGACGCGTGGGGGTAGAGATAGTCGTAGACTGTAACGCCCATCATACCTTGGATACGTATTACTGATGTCTACCGATCACCCTCATTGATCAGTTATTGTGGTACACAGGCTTTACCGGAAGAATCGTCGCGGCAGTCGGACCATGAATTGAATTAAGTGTATGAAGAGATTAACCACGCTGTTCTGGTTTCAGTTGTACCTTCTTGACGGTAAAACTAGGTTTTAAGTGTTCAGTGTTGTTAGGATCATTGACCACGTACTTTCGTGCGACGGATTTGTTTGCTGTCTTTAGGCTGCTCGTTAGGATAAAGGGCAGAAGGAAGACTGAAAAGCTGAAAGAAGAGTTAAGGTGAGCATTGAGAATTCATACAGACTAAGGTTGCAAGGATAATAAGTACATACATGAAAGTCACTATTCACAATATTCAAATATTCATCTTACTAAATGTCTCCAACCACCAGTTACGATGATAGTGGTGATAATGATGATGATCATCATCATCATCGTACAGCGAGATATAGTGAAGCGAACTTCACTGGTTGCTGCCAAGCTCACAATGTACACACATGAGGTGATAAAGCACAAGATGGGAGGGATAGGGCTTAATTGGAGAGGGGAAAAGAAAGTGAACCTCTGTAGTTAGCACAGAGTACACAATCTAAATATGCATTCATAACTTTTCAAGCATTCTGACCTGAAATGACTATAGGAACGCCACTACTATCGGTTATTTCCCATATCCTTCAGTATCTCCAACCAACCAATTATAGTCTTTCGGACATGAACCTGGAAGGCGCGAGACTCCTGCTGTATCTATACATTTCCTCATGCCTCGTTTCCATGTTATCTGTTAGTCTCTACGTGACTTCCTCCAACCTTAATCCCGAACTGCGAATAGGGCGCAGTGCGGCAGACGACAGCTGGGCACGCGCAATAAACGCCATAACCAGCGAAACCTACTAATCTGAGTTCTATGTGATAACGAATTTTCTACCGAATCGTCACCAAATATGCGACGGCTCACCTCAAAGTTGCTTACACGCTCATTCAGTTCAACCCGCGCCAAACTACGTAGACATCGACAGTCGAACACTTCTAGACGACGAATATCTTCCACGCGCAAACTTATTCCATCTGCTGTTTAACACACCAAGGGGTGTCAAAAAAGCTACTCAAACTTTGGAAATGAAGATGGTTATTTCCCTGACTATGCTACCATCATTTGTCACGCAGTTATCTAAGTAAGAGAAACATTCCATCATAGCTAATTCTTGACCATTAAGCATCAACGCCGGGCTAGATAATACTCAATCTTGTAGCATCACTTTGCGCTTTGAAGGTGCAAAGCGTATACCAAATGGAATAAGCTAACTTGAAATTCTGTCAAGAGCGCTTTGCGCATCCTTCATACATTCGAACAGAGAAACGATGTCGTCATCTTACTTCAAACTGCACAGCTTTCCTCCAGCTACCCATTCAATTCCAACATTTCGGAAACCACCCAGTGCGTTCTCCAGTACTTCCTCTACGACGAAGTTGAATAGGAATGGCGAAATAGGGCACATTGATGCCCAGAACTAAACTAATAACGCGGTGGTTAGCGCAGACGTTGCGTGATTTCTTCTTGAAGATAGAAATGATCAACGATTCACCCCAAGATAAAGGGATACTCCCCTCCAACCAGATCCCGCGAAGTAAGCTAATAATCGAGTCGACGATAAAGTCAAAACCCCACCTTGAAAGGAATGGGGAGGAGCCCATTAGGTCCCGCTATCTTCTCCTTCTTTAATGAATGAATACAGCTTCGTGCTTCTAATTCTGATGGGGGCTCACATATTGCCACCCATGGAGTTTCCTGAGGTCTCCATTTAGGGAGCTGAATGCGACCAATATAACTGATTCTCCTGGTTAAGGTTATCATGCCCTCATACCAGGTCTTAGTGTGATTGCCCTTGACCTTTTTCCATCCACTACCTGCCACGGCAAAACATTGGACGCCGTGGTAATTAATCCACTTGGAAACATGCGCAAAACATGCCCCGATCGATGTAGTCTACGGAGGCCAAACAAGTTGTACTAGTGAAAGATCGCGATTACCTGAAACCCTGTGCCGAACCTCACCGTTACCTGACCGGGCTTTCCACCAGATTCATGCAATGCGGCGTGGACAGCAGTGTTTAAACACTAACAGCCTGCTTCTGTAATGGCCAATTCTTCGCACCACAACTCAGCACCGGTCGAACTGCAGTAGTATACGATCGGTTGTTTACAGACAGTCGGATATCGCGACGGAGCCACAAATGTCTCAAGTTGGCCAAAGCCAATCAAGCCTTTTGTGTGCGTGCCGACACTTCATCCGTGATGCGTCTGCCAGGTGAGATATAGCTGCTTAAATAACAAAAGCTGTCTACCTCCTATACTAGTTCTCCAGTTAGAATGAGGTTGGTGCCTGAAACAACCCAATCTTGTAGCAAAATTTTGCACTGAGAGTGCGAAACGCATGCTACACTAGCACATAACCAGAAAAGCTTGCAACTTACCTGGGTGTTCACTTAGACGTAGAACGTCATCTGCATACTCCAGGTCAGACAGTTTGCCATCTAGGAGTATATCGCTGCCTCCATCCTCGCACGAGGACACGGCTGTTTCCGGAGTTGAATAGCGAGCTTGGCCCAAGGGTTGATAGATGACGCTGTCTAGAAATTCGATCATAGTGCCCATGATAGAACCAAGGTGCGTGAATATTGTAAACCTCTATTGTCTTTAACTCCTTCATCAATTAACCTGCACAACGTAAAACATAAACTTTATCACACTTTACAGATTTTCCCAGTCTTGTATTGGTTAGAGCTGACATCTTGTCCACTCTAGGCTGGTGACTGACCAATACATATCACGAAGAACCAGAACCACAAAAATTGAAAATTCTTAAGGTTACCTGAAAGTTCAGGCAAAAAACCTACTGCCAATGACTCAGGATCCGGTTCCTTCCCCTCATTGGTCACCAAGCCCAAACGACCAGCCAGTATGCGTCTACCAGCTAAAACGATGGCCAAGGCGACAAGGTGCTGAACACATGTAACCAGATTCATAAACGGGAATGGGGGACCGGATTCATGTTGTTGAAAGCCCATCGGTTTACGCAATGTCATATGAAACGTAAACGCAGCCTGACCGACTAGACTGATCCACCGGTTGGAACCACGGCCTGCCAAGAAAAGACAGAGTACCAAACGTGTCAGATATGATGTTAAGGGGTAAGCTCGATTAGCCTGCGAACGCCTAGATAGGACGGTGCGAACCACTTCTGCACGCGCAAATGTCAAAAGCGATCACTTATTTCCTTCATTTAATAGTATACAAGCAACCATCGTGGATGGAGAAGGATCCACGTCAGACATCTAAGGTATAATTTAGCCACTTGCCGGACATGGGCTCAGATTAACTATAGATAGAGAGGGCGTATGAAAGACTGTCACCCGTATTATTCTACCTGCTTGGATTCAGATCTCAGACTTCTTGAGGAGCGTCGCGAAATCACGGCAGAAAGCGCCTCTATTTGAAGCATGAACTAAAAAATAGTTTACGAGATGACCGAGAAGCCTGGTGGGTGCTATACGCTAGGGAGATGGAATTAGCAGCAAGGTGTGGAAATACCCGGCAGCTGTTCAAACTCGTTGGTTCTACTGGCCCAAAAGGACAGTGTGTTAGTGAAACAATCTGCGAAATAGAAAGTCATCATCATCATCACCAACAAATACTGATTGCAGCTCGAAGTACGGATACTGTCTTATGGGTTGGGCTATCTAATCCAAGGTTCGAGACGAGATCAGATCAACGTCCCATTCTGACTTAGGTGATCCTTACAGCCCACAAAATGAACGCGAACTGGTCACATCTAATTCGTCTCGAGTTTCACTTCCACTGTGTGGGGTAACAAGTAGACTACGAGGGGTGCAATCGATTATTTATGAAAGTATCAAGTACATTCAAATAAAAACCAGATATGCTTACCTTTGCCTTCAGTTTGCCTATTGGACACAATCATCAATCCGGAGTCCGCAGGTAATTTCGCTAAAAGTCTGGAAAAATCGGAATAAAATGCAACGTGAGCGTTTTAATGTGGAAAGATGGTGCAAAATATAACGCTTCCTCTCTTGAGGAAATGAGTAGGGGTAAGGTGACCTAGGCAACGCACTTCTGACCCTTCGGTTATCCTTGCATGCAACAGTGGACTGTGGTTCATTGAACAAATTATAGGAGACACGAAGAGTGAGTACTTGTAACCTCAACTCATGAAATACGGAAACAGATGTACATATTGTTCACGACTGAGAGTTGATTTAAAGTTTGCGGAGTGGAGAGCAAACTCCCTCCAATCATGTTCAGTGTTTGGATTTCACAGACAAGTCGTATGCAACTGATATTCAAAATGGTATGGAACAACTCAGCTGCATTGAGAACGGTTAATTTTTCACGTTATCCAAAATAAATCTTTAATGGTGATGAGTAAGCGGTTTACGTCGATGTCGCCGGTGTGATCCGGGCTTAAAGGTTCAAAGTGCTATGGTTAACTATTTTTCTTAGTAGACAGTTTCACTGTTGTCCAGCTGAATGCCACACCTACCCTAGTAGGGCCAGCGTGGTTCACCACTTCGAAACCGAAGGCTTAGGTTGCCATCGTGTAGCCCGACAACTATCCACCCTGTTTGATGTCCGGTGCTGAGGAAGCCTATCAGAGTAAAACTAATCAACAGATAGAAAAATGGAACCTGTCGCCAGCAATGACTTGATCGTTGGTTAGTGTACTCAACTCGCTAGAGGCCATTTTTATGAACGCTTGCTGTCTAGAACAGGCCGCATTTAAACGATGCACGAAACTGGAAGCAGAGTACTAACCTTTCACCTAGACAATAACTGGACGGCAAAGATTCGGCCCAGAGTAATGTGTGTCCCAATACCCGCGTTCGCAAGGCGGATGTATATACAGTCCAGGGAAATTCCGTGGGAATCGATGGATCGGATAGGTGCACTGTTCGCAAATCATATTGGGTTCCGCTTTTTACGTCTTCCAAGGCCAACTTCGACTGAATCACGTTGGGCGAGATCTAGTCAGTTTGGGTGTAAGGAGGGAAGGTGAGGAGGGAAGAAGGGGAAGATGATAATGATGTGGATCTACTATCCTTTACCGCAGCTAATCATGCGATGAAGGTAGGTTCAGTCACAAAGATACTCAAAATAGGGACTAATAACCCCTCAGAAGGTATAAAAAAGGATCACTTGATCTATTACTACGAACGGAACAGTCAAAGGAAATGACAGAGGCACATATCTGTCAAACTTCAGCGAAAGAGTTTACAGATAATGGCTAAAATTGCATCGTCACCAGGATTTCGCCTAACTACCTGATACCTGATACAAATGTATTGTTACGGTTCACTCCCTCAGGGTGCTTAAGTTTTACACTAGCAAACGACACTTTCATCTCCTATTACCCGCGACAATAACGTCTGATATTATTAGTATTAAATGATCGGCCTCAAGAGGACAAAAAATTCTATTTTCTAAGCTGTCAAACTTCTGTTTCCGATACAGTAACAGAAAAGCGTCCCTTTCCTAGGGAATGTTTGAGATATGAGGAACCTGCATACTCTGAACGTCATGAACAATGTCATGGCGGCGCCACAGGTGTCGCAGGTTGACAAAATCTGCTCTAGCTTTCGCTACTCATGACGTGATCTCCTTCACAACGCCACCTCGAGCTCCGATCACGCTCCCAAAGTACTTAAAACTCTCAACCAGTTGATCACCACAGAGAGTGAGTGCAGGTATAGGCTCCTGGCAGTCCTGAACAAATATTTTGCACTTGGATAGTGTAAAGCCCACACCAAGCCTGGATAACTCTATCACCAAGTGGTTTAAAGCGTATTAGACTGTCAGTGTGTTGTAATCCAATAAGGCGATGTAAGCGGCGTCTTTCAAGTCGAGAACTGCGTTCCCTGAGAGGAGTTCTACTTCACTATTCACTAGACCAGAAAAACTGCGAAACATCCTCCTTGAAGCACTCAGTGTACGCAGTACAGAGTGACGTTCATACGTGGGTTCAATCTCGAAAGAGGCGATTCTGCTTAGTTCCCAATCTAAAGTTGAGCCCTTACTCGAGTAAACGAGTTGGAGCAACGACTTCGGTGCACAGATACGAGATAGAAAACTTAAGTTTTTATTAGCACGTTTTAACAGCAAACATAGGGATGAAATTACGGAAGAATGGATTACCTTTGGCTGAGAACTATTTAGGTGCTCTTCTTAAGAGAATTATTTTGCAAAAATCCGAGAATAATAATAATAACAATAGTTAAAAATTGACAGACATTCTGGGTTTTGTTCGAAATTTCAGCGTTGCGCTCATCGTATCAAAACAATCATGTTCTGTTTAGTCAAAACGAAATTACCAGAACACGAGATTTCAGTTCAACCTTCATGGAAAGATTCTCATCAAGTCGAATGAATCTGTTTCTCAAACTCACACACCCCCTGGGGATAACAAATCGCAACGAGTGAGGTTTGTCTATCGATGAGTGTGCGGGCGTGTTCTCTTAGGACAATTGTTTGGGTTCGGTGGGATCTGCACTCTCAGTATGTGGTCGGTGTGTGTGTGTGTGTGTGTGTGTGTGTGTGCGAACCCGGGTTTAATAATAATACACGCGAGATCAAGCAGTGTTGAGATAATCAAGAGAACGTCACACTAGATCATTGGTAGTTCACTGCTCCTGTACGGTTGATGAACGTAGCGTTACTAATGATAAGCATATCACTGCGAATAATGGCAGTAATAATGATAAAGTGAACGACACTGACAAACGACATACCTTTCCATTAGAATCTGCCTCACGCCCTTCTAGTCCAATCAGATAATGCAGCACGACATGATCAGTGGATGAATTCTGGACTCCGGTGTCATCTGGGTTGTGACAAGAAATACCCAAAAGACGGAGTGCTTCTAACAGTAAATGCCAGTTTCCATCCACACAGTCGGCCTGAAAGACAGCAGTCACAGTGAGATTGGTGTACAACAGGAACAACACAGAACCAGTACCTCTACCACAGTTCATCAATATATGTGAACTTATACAGCAGTCAAGCAAAAAGAGACGAGATATGTATACATTCAAATTACAGTCGAAGTTAGATGGAAATCGAAGTAAAGTCAGAATTTTGTTGAAAGAAAAATCACCTAAAATCTTGGGGCCACCATATATAGGTAGGCGAGGTACCGACGGAGTACATAACGGAATGGAATTTGGTGAGGACGCAATAAAAGATGACTTGGAGACTGGGAAGAGTTTCGTCGCTACTTTCAACTTTTATTGTTGGTCTTTCAGGCTTGTCTCGGCGCGATATGCTCAGTCAATTCCGTTAACCAGCTCATATCACCGTTGACCAGAATTACCAATCCGTTTGTTTAGATATCACCTCCCTCAAATTGGAGATAACGGACAATATACAGCACCTCCCTGCGTTGCTCTCCTGTCTGCCGATTATCGACTCTCATTGAAGACGGCAATTGAGAAAACTTGAATCAGTTGCTCGGATCAGCCCCGTAGGAAGCCGGTTGACATAAAGTGACCCTCCGTTTGCTTGTCGATTAGCTGGTTAGTCACAGACATTCGTAATAAACTGCTACAACAATCAACCAAGTTTAATTATAAGCCATATCCCTAAAAGCTTCTAACCAATAACATGCATCATCCACCGAGATTTAAACAGTCAAGACGGAATAAAACAGTGCAGGGAAACTAACCAGAATGGCAACAAAACGAACTGATGGACCAGATCCGTTCGGAACAGATCCGATGAGCGCACGAGCAGGGACAATCTCCCTCGATGACTCTTGCTCGAAGGGTTTGACGGGAGATTGAACTGACCATTGCCACGGAGCGTCACAATGACTTGTATCGAGTGGGGCAATTTCGGACTCAGTTGTAACTAAGTTGAACAGCGAAGTTTCCAGGCCAATTCGATTTTCCGATGGGGATTTTGACGGTGGATCCAGAAGAACTACAACACGACCACCGTCTGCAATGAATTTTGCAACCTTCATAGCCCAATGGAGACGAGAAAATAGCTTTGTCATGAGATAATTGAGCTGATCACAGATGTTAGACAGGACAAGAAAATACATTGCTCAGCGAGAAAGTTCAGTCAGTAAGTGTTAGATTAAACAAACCAAATCGGAGTACTATTTCATGCAATCCCATGGGTGGATTTCCAGAAGATTGCCAACACGATGCGTCGTATTAACTTGTCCTTATCACATCGAGATTCGTTTCATATCGTGTTTCTGTCTACCAATTCTCACTCCCTATCAAACTGTTTGCTGAATAAAGTCTGAGTTCTGGGCTCTTAGTCCATCCCCCCATGCATTGTTCGTGTCAATATTCATCACATTATCACCTATACCGTAGCATTGCTTTGAAACAATCATAGAAATGTTAACCCACAATAAAAAGGAAACATTTTCAGGCTAAGTAACAGATAGACGACAGCAGTCATTAAAAAAAAGAATAACGGGGAAGAAATTGCTACTTTATTCAGTAGATATGCGTCAAATGTATCATTTGTGCTATTCCTTGTGTTTCGCTTATCATTTCAAATTTGAAAGCTCAGGCAGTTTCGCGCATCCCATTTAGTTATTTTTACCACTGTTTATCAGTGCTCCCGTTATTTTTCCTGGCTTAACCAAACAGGGTTTCTAAGTCTGACGCCGTGGTTTAACCATTATTATCCACGTTTCTTTTATTCCTGTGAATGAGTTATCCATGACGCTTCTAGAGTGTCATACAACTTCCGGCGTGAAATTTGCGGAAAGGATTCGCAAAGATCCTGCCACCTGTTGCACGCAGAATTGACACATTGTCGTTCCCATCCCTCCAAATACTTCCAATTCTGTATTTGACTCACAGTTACTTGTGAGACAATTGATATTGATTGATTTGGCTGACTATCCTTCAGAATTTACTTTCACGCACAATCCCCTGTCCATAGATTCAACCGTACACTCGGAAGCACTAGACTCGATTTTCGCTCTTATTAGAGCTCATCAGTAGTGCATATTCACCATTACGACGAGACTGCACCTTGACGTGGTGTGATGGCCTGTGCACCTCTCTACCCCAACGAGCTACACAGGATGACTTTTGTCAATGCGAAGATCTAATCATGCCTGGAAGGTCTAAGGTAGAGTTCGAACGAAGTTCAGTCTCCTGGTCCTCCAGGTTGGAGGTTCCACTAGAATTTGCGTTTCAGTCGGTAGAAAATGGTGGGGGAATAATTGATCCGAGTAAATGGGCCTTCACTTCGCTTTACCCACTGCCTTGCGGTTAGGTTCTTGTCCGAACTGAAGGCTTTGGTTGAGAACCCTAGTCGTTCTTCTGCTTAGTGGCTGGACACCCTAGCAGTACCCGTCCATCAAACCCCAATGTGCATTGCGAGATTGGCAGCTATCAGTGAAGTTCGCTTCTCTGTATTTCGCTGTACGATGATGATGATGACGTCCCGTTCGGGATTTGAACTCCGAACCCATCGCATGGAAGGCGTGTATGTTACCACTGTGCCAACAGCGAAACTCATGTCTAGTGCTTCCGAGTGTATGGTTGAATCGATAAACTGAGGATTGTGCGTGAAGGTGAAGTCCAAAGGATAGTCAGTCAAATCGATCAAACTCCCAATTCTACCAAGTTTCATCTCTAATAAATGCTTACCGAAATTTACCCATGCCCCGTCTTGCATCTTTACTCACTAACAAAGAAAGAGTAACAAGTGAATTTTATCTTAACTTTGGAATACGAAATGCTTTCAAACTTGTAAAAATTTTCTCCCCCCCCCTCTTGAATATGTTCTTTGTGCCGGTTGGTGTGTATAACTTTTTAAAACTAAAATGTAAGCTTCAGTGCTTGCAAAAGTATAATACAATACAAAGATTTTGGTGAGAGGGAAGAAGTGCCATCGCTCAGCCCTATTCGGCAAAAAGTGGATTCGAACATATCGCATTAAATTCAAATCAATAATACGGTGGAGGGGTTTAAACCTCGGACCCTGGCCTCTTAGCATAACAGAGCAATATTGGACCACGGACAACTTTGGTCACCGATGATCAAAGGACCCCAGATCCTGATGCTTTTCTACTGTTTGTGTAACGGGAGAAACTTATTAAGAACGTTTCCCATCAGCATCCAGGCATTCTCGAATTAGAGCACCCGTGCAGCTTGTTTGTACAGGGATATGCGTGAAAACATGTAAACTGACCGCGCATTAGATTGAATCTGCTGGATCCTTGTGACAGATTTAACAGTTGAATCAAAAATAAAAATCTGAAAAATCATGTTGCAACTCTCGAGTGCGCAAAACTCACCAAATCAAGCTCCGAATTGAACAACTTTTGATCATCCGTGCAAGCGTTTTTGTCTTCGATCAACACTAGCAATCGAGCCGAGGTTTGCCATGACTGGGAGAAAAATTCTTTACGAGAAAGGGGATACACAACACTTCTATCCCTGTTGATGGATTGATCGAGCTTTCGATACACAAGATCACAAAATTTGCGATAGGTGTCACAGTTGGTCGAGCTCAGCGATGCATGTAGGCAGTACACATTGAGCGCTACTCTATCGGTCTGAAAGAAGTTGATTCGCTTATCTATCAAACCGATAAGTCGTTTGGCAAAGAATGTAGTGCATAGGGTGCTCCAACTTCCCATATCTAATTGATCTATCCAGAGTCAACCTAAAGGAAAACAGGAAAAATGAAAGGTTGAGAGCAACGAGCCCCATTGGAGATGGTTGCGTTGTGGGTATCGAGGTTTTCAAAGATCTTAGTAGTAGTCGACGGATAATCGAAGTT